TCACATGTGTTTCGTATATTCCTGCTTTTAAAAAAAAAAAAAATCTGAACTTAATGGTCATTTGGTTTTCCTTGCTATACGCATACATGTGTATCTTCTCACTAAGTTGGTTATGGCTTGGATCATGAAAGGTTTCTCGTAGGTTGTTTATTCAATGTCGATCGATTGAATAGGTGTTTAAGTCATGGCTTTTAAGATGATTTGTTTTGTATGACTTTACAACTATTGCACACCAAGTGTTTGGTGAAATGTCTTTAAAAAAAATTTGTGGTATTTGTTTAGGTGATCCATGAAACTTAAGTTTGCATCTAAAGCCACTTGACCAAACGTTTGATGAGCATATTTAGATCTAAAAGTTTCACATGCTTCTCATGAGTTTGGATGTCCCTATGCTTGTTTTTTTTTTATGATCTAGAATTTTTGGGATGTCCCGTAACTTATGAGGCAATACAAGCTGGCATTACAATGAGGATTCATACATAGATATCAGTAGAAAGCTTTCTACTTGCATTATTTAATGGATTCTGGTGTCATTTGACCCCTATTCTAATTTTTATTTTTATTTTTGTCTCTTATTCTTCTTCTTTACTTTTGGAGTTTAGTCTGTTCTGTTGGGATATGGATGTTTCATAATGTGCTTTGTAGGATTCACTATTCTATTCGAAGTTCCAATGAATTTTCCCATCTTGAGTAGTTGACGATGCATATTTACATTGGATCAATGGGTGCGGTTGTTGTGGAAGAAGCATGAAGCATGGCTAGTTGGGTTGTTGCACTAGTTTGTTTTTATTGTGGCTGTTATTAAATTTTAATTGCCTGTGCCGATTTATTTTATTAAGTGTTGATGAGCAGATGCGTCGCCAATCTATTTGATTTCTTGGGTTGTTTTCTGTTACCTTTTATTGGAGAAATTAGCAATCTGGATTATTTTAGAATGCAATACCCTCATACCTTGTGATGTATATGGTGTTAACTTTAAGTCATTATTTACATCTCTTTGTTTAAGTACCGCATGTTACGTGTATTTGATAAAAGGTCTCAAGGAAATTCTTGTCGGCAAGCATTGCTTATTTGTAGAGATTTCTACAGTTTTTTTTATAAGACTTTTCTTACTTTTTTTTGTGGAAATGAGTGCAGTTTTTAAGGCTTTTCTCACTGTTTTTGTACAAGAATCCTCACCGTATTTGAATGGATCTTTCATTACTTCTTTGTAGGTAAACGGGTTTCCAGGTTGACCCGGCAACCCATCGGGTCAACCCGAACTCGACCCATTTTCAAACGGGTCGAATCCAAGAACCCGAACTCAACCCAGTTTGGAATTGGGTCGGGTCAAACCCAAAATTTTCGGGTCGGGTTTTCGTGCCGTGTCAAATATTGACACCCGTGGGAAGATCATTTGGCAACGATGATCCAAGGCATAATTAAGCATTTTCCACTACTTGCTCCTCTTCCTCATTTCCCTCAACAATATGAAATTGTTGTTTCTCCCTACCCCATTAATTCTACCACAAGACAACAAGCCTTATATTCTTGAGGAGAATAAAAATAAATCTTCTCATTTATCATTCTATAAAGCATATCAACTTCAACTAACAAATATTTTCTCCATCAAGATCATGTAATTAAGCTCAACTATCATCAAAGTTTAAGATGTTTGTGCATGATTCCTATATAGAGAATTTGAATCCTATCGATCGCGTCACTCGCTTCGAGTCAATGATTTCCCTTTTCACAATCTACAACACCATAAAATATTATTTATTCATTATCATTTTTAAGGATGTGCCACTGCAGTACTTCTCCAGTCTTCCTCCACAAAATATCATATATTTCAACGATTCCTACATGCAATTAATCACTCTATTTGCAAGTTTCAAGAGGTCGATGAACAACTCACAAACTCTCCTGGACATGAGACATGACTCATTGAAGTTATTCTAACATTCCTTGTTACAAGACGGATCTAAAATGTTCAAGATCAAAACAAAACAATGATTTTTTCATTAACGGCAAATTTTTCAGAAAATCACTAACTACGACTAGTGTTTGATGCATATATACGAGAGACCAAAATTACCAAAAACTTAAATTAAAATTGTTGCGAGCTGAAACATTCATAATCGTAAAGTGGGAGTTAAACATTTTAATATCGCACAGAAATCTAACACATAGATAAAATAGAAGTTAAAAGAAACACTAAAATTTTTATAAGAAAAACTCATAAAAGGGAAAAATCATGAGTTCGCCAAGTTGAAATGATTTTGCTAGTGTTTTTCATTGATTACAAATAATGTCATTCCTTAGGATTAGGAAGCATGATGAAAGTTGGAAGAGCTATTTAGCTTGAGAACTATCTTCAAGAGATGATTTATATTTGTTTGATCATTCTCCTTTGACGAGGGGAGATCAAAAGACCAAGAAGTCTAGCATAATTTTGGTGTTAACATCGGGAATCAAATTTGGTATCGGAGGTGTTCATCATTCTTACAGCTGATGGCATGCATTGATATCGTTGGCAATTGCAAATGACAAATTTTGTGGGTATCAAATATAGCAAGGAGACAATGGTCGGAATTATTTAGGAGAGTGGAGTCACAGGACCATAGTCAGGAGATGTAGTCGAAAGACCGTAGTTTGGCAACGATGGTTAGAGGGACACAAGTGAGCGATGGTGGCTATAGGATCATAGTCATGAGATATTGTTCATAGGATTGTAGTCAGACGAAATATGTTCAGAGGACCATAGTCGGGTGATTCTACCCAACCAGATTCTTCAAAGACTTGATTTTGATATGCATATCCTAGAATCTACCCGCATATGTCATCATCCTAGATTCGCTCTCATCTTACGTCATAGTAAAGATAGTTGCATCAAAATCCACAACCCTCTCAGCAGAATTTTCAAACTCCATGTTGGAAGCGTCCTCATCCTCAAAAGCCTTGAGGTCCGCATCCTCAGTATAGTTATGATCAATACTGGCATCAACACTAGCTCCAACATTAACATTCTTGTTGAGCTCCAACTATCTTGAAGTCCTCTTTCACCACCAATAGCAATTTCATTACCTTTGTGACTTAAACTTCCTCATTATCAAAGGCTTTTTCAAGCTCTAGCTCCTTAGGGGCTTCTAAATATCTATAGGAAGCATGTCAACCCCACAATCTCCTCTTTGCTAGCAACTTTTTGACCATTAACAATTTCTTTCAAAGCTAGTTCAGTGGCAATTTCCTCTTACGTCCTCACCATGGAACAAACTTCGTGGAACTTGCTATCATTTTCGATTGAAGTTTTCCCAAACATCAGAAAAGTCACTCCCTCAACTTCCTTCAGGAGATTCAAGATCAACTCAGAGATGAAGACCATACTACGGGGCATGTCAAAATCAAGCTTTTTGAAGAACCAATTTTCGTCAATTGTTGGGAGCCTTCTAGAAAACTAAAACCGTCCCAAAAGCATTCCCTCCCTCATTTATGATCTGTTTAACACCAAAAGCTTCTTCTGCAACCACCTGATTCAGCTAATGGTTCAACTCCTAGCAGTCTAATCATTTTAGCATTATAACTTCTTTAAAAACCACCTTGCTTAGCAAAAGCTTCAGCTCTTTCTATCCATCTGCAGTTCTCTCAACTTTAACCTGCTTAAAGGGAGGATTCATAAAAAATGATTACTCGTATGAAGAAAAGGTAGCTTCAATTTAGCAGACTGTCTAACCTTTTTTTTAAAAGCCAATCTTGAAAAAAAAAATTGCTTGATGTTCTTCAAATGTGCAAAAAGATAAGCGCCAAAGAAATTGCAGGGCAAGGGTATGGAGATTGAAGAACAAACATTAAAACTCTAAAAATGAACTACAAATGTCAAACTTATAAACATATTGTTGACGTTTCAAGTACACAGCAAAATAACTTTGATAAATTCATGCTAATAACTTTGAGTCACCTAGCTAAATTTAGTTTGGTAACATCTTAATTCTTGTGTTCTTAGTTTCTATGAAGGAACAAGAGAATTGAAGAATAGATGTACATCCATATAGACCATCGGGTAAAATAAATCAAGCCATTACAATAACCTAAATAGGATTCAAGAAGTCGATCGCTAATAAAGATTTGACTTGAATATAAATTAAGCCACAAGTCAACCCAAGCAAAATCATGAACAAGTCGCCTAAACACATTAAAAATTAAAATACTCAACAATTAACAAGGGTTTCTCATTAAAATAAGCCACCAAGAATATTTGCCTTAGATTCAAAACTCGCGGAATATTTCACCGACTGTTAGTCAATAAAATGTCTAATACGTTTGTCGCACTGCTAGCTATAACAGCTTCAACTTATACATTCTTTGTATGTATAATGTAGCAAAATTTGAAACATTGACCTTGATCTTCTCCTATAAATATTAGATCATTAGTTGAGCATGAATACGATAGAAATCACATAAAATTTTGTTGAAAGTATCTATGAAATTTTTCTCTACATAATTTCCCTGTAGTTTTATGTAACTAGCCATCTCTATTCTCCATATATTCAAAGTGATAAAACTAGGTTTTTTATTAAAAAAAATAAAAAAAATATTCACAGATTTGTTTAGACATAGTTTCTATCACTCTTTCTCATTCTTATTTTTTGGCTTTTATTTTTTTCTATGATAAAATTGTAATTTTTTTAAGAATAACTGGGGATCCCACAGACCCCCAAATTGGAGGGAAATTATTGGGTTCCGACACCGGACGCAACTTATCGTTCGGTACTTCACAGTACCGAGCAGTACTGAGTTTGGTACTTCACAGTATCGAGCAGTACTGAGCAGTACCGAGTACCGAGTACCGAGCTCGGTACTGCTTGGTACTGCTTGGTACCAAGTAGAGGGTGATGTGGCGCATTTTCATTGGCTCTGGAAGGTGTCCGGTGTCCGAACCCAATAATTTCCCCAAATTGGAGCAACTTAATAAAAAAAATGGACCCAAAGCCTCCTTGCAAGAATTAAAAAAACAGCAGAAATAAGCTTAACAATTTATTTCTATAGATTATGGAATAGTACACTGTAGCATAGAATTAACAAGCATAAAGAAATGTTGCCTTGTTCCAATCCTATTCACTCCCATACTTCAAATAATGTAGCTGAATTCTGCTGCTAAGAAATCTATCCTCTACTCTCCAACAAAAGTACATTCAATATACAATCACTTTATTTCAGACTTAAAAATATAGAAATCGAATTTAATAGCTAACAAAAGTGTAAACAAGTACCTGTACAGTTTACCGTCACCGTCGGTAGCCATTTCCCTGAAACCGGCGGAGCACCCCTTGCACCGCCACGTCGAAGGCATCCTCCATCCCCTCATCGAGTCCTTCCTCCGCCCTTGCGTACACCAGCTTCGGTATCAAATCCACCACCCTCTCCCTCATCCTTCGAATCTTCTCTTCGCCAATCCCATCCAACACCCCCCTCACGCTTACCGCCCCGCTCCTCACCTCCCTCCGATCAATGAACACCGACCACTCCCCAGCCTCCTCCTTTTCTCCTGGCAAATACCACGTGTACTGTTCGTACGCGCTCCGCCGCCAAAAGATAACCGGAATCGCACCGGCGACCATGCAATCGAACATCGACCGCCGCGTGAAGCTATCTCCCCTCGGCTGCAAGCAGAATACTGAATCTAGAAAAAGGCTTAACGTCTCCGCGCTACGGTTTCCGCACCTCCCACCACTGCAATCTACCGCTCGACACGCGCCTCCCGCCCCAGCGCATTCCGACAGCAATAAACCTCTAAAATCATCCTTAATGCTCGCACGCGCGGCGCCGGCGAAGCTAATGAGGGTCGATCGGGTCCGGTTCATCACAAACGCCTGCCAGGCCCGCACCTCTCCCGCGGTCCGTGGATGGAAGCCTATGGGATACGGAATCCCCACGTCGCGGTCGTCCCATGGGTTTCGTTCGATTAGGAGGCGAGTCACGTTCTCCATTCCCGGCATATAGAGAAAGCTCCCGCCCCAATCGCGGTCGTTCGACCTTCGGAAGTCCCATGTTATGCGACCAAGCGTGATGAAATGATCCCAACCGCCGGATTTCCTCCACGGAGATTGGGAATCGATCCACCTGAGGAGATCGGTGCAAGTGCGGTCGCGATCGTCGGAGCTTGAGGTGGAAGACCAGAGGTGTTTTCCTACGGCGAGGCCGGCATAGAAGGGGATGTAAAATGCTGATGCGGCGGAGGGGTTTCGGGTTCGGCAACGGTGGGCGAGCAAGCGTCGATGAAAAATCAGCTCGGCGATGAATTGATCGGTGGAGAACCAGGAAGACATGAGGGAATCCGGCACGATTCCGGCAAGATCGGCGGCAGGGGCGCCGAATCCTCCGTTGGAAAGAGCGTCGCAACGAGAAACCCATGGATTGAGACCGGAGCAATCGGTTATTAACTCTCTGTTGAACTTGGGAGGGATGTCGTAGACGTAAAGCAAGCCGTTGTCGCAGGGGGCTACCGTGGCCGGGGCTGGAGCGACGGCGATGGCGACGGTAACGGCAGGGTGTCGAAAGATAAAAAGAGGAGAGGGCAGGGAACGAGTAGAAAGAAAGAGGAGAAGTTGCAGAGAAAGGACGGTAAAAATAAGGAGAGCGCAATGGCGGGACGCGAAATAGATAGACTGGAAGGCGCAGACCCAGCCGGAAAGGTCCGGGCCGGACATTGGCATTGCGGACCAGAGTTTCTTTAGTAGACGGGTCTCCGGCGGCGGAGTTCCCGACCGCGGAGACATCGCGATAGAAGTGGGGGATGAGATGACCGAATCCGTGGAGCAGCAAAGTTGCAGGGGATTCAGGTAGTTGATCAAAAGGCAAAAGAAATTTCCCCCAAAAAAAAAGCTAAAAGAACGTCGGTGATCGAAAACAAAAGGCAGAAAATATTATTGACACGTGTCACCAAGAAAATGTCCTGAACGCGACAATTGGGAACGAGTGGAAGAGCCACGTGGCAACATGATGGATCGGACGCTGAGATAAGAGCCAGTCTTTGCTGTGGCGTGCTACCAGCGAAGTTAATGAGAAGCCGTACATCGAAGAAAAAAAAAAGATTAAACTTTTCAATGAATTTTAATTTGAAGAGGGCTTAGAACGGCGGAGCGAGAATTACAGGCCAGTGGAAGCCGACAAATATATTATTATTTCAGAACAAGGTTTTTTTTTTTCTGCCATTCCCAATAATTATGTAAATTAAAGCAATATTTTAGTACAAAAATTATTTTAAGAAGCAATAATAAAACTGTCCCAAACAAGTTCATAGTATGCACCCTCGATTTATGAATCATCGACCAGCCAATTGAAAGTAAGCACCCCCGATTTACCAAGAGGACAACGTAAGAAAATTAGAAATGAACAATGTGATAAAAAAATTCATTCATAGTCGTTCAACAATGACTACAAAAAAGACAACATTTAAATGAATCCGGCCAAGAATTTCTTGATATTTGTTTCTTTTATTAGGCTTTTTTGAGATGACTTTCTTATAGTTTCTAAAAACAGCTTTGTACTACCAAGCTGTTTTAAGAAGCAGTAAGAAAGTCATCCCAAATGAAATCTTAGTCTGGAGGTTGATAAGAATACCCCTACTAATCAAAGAATCTTTTGTTTTTAATCCCCACGTCAAAAATAGCCAACTAGAAGCAGACAATCTCATTGCATAATTTTTATGCCAAATAAATTTAAACCATAAAACTTGAGCCATTCCTCATAATAAGAGTAAAGAAACTTCTTGAAGGTGAGAATGACATTAAAAATTGGGGCATTTGTGGGATAACAAAGAGGAAGTGAGTTAATATGAAAGATCAGCTCACATAAAGCTTTGTTACCAAATCATGGGTCCCAAAATAAAGGCGAATTGTAGCAAGTGGATACCCTAAACCCTAAAAACGAATAGCGCTTTTAGATGAGCTAATATGTAAACTTGATAATTTGTCAAATTGAGTCATAAAATGTTTGAGAGAATTAGTGTTTTCATGATTTGATCTATCAATTTCCAACAAATTATTAGTATAAGGAAGATGAGAAAAGTAAATGTTCCATATGATGATTTCAACATAAGATTTATTATTGATGAAGCTATCAAATATATTTGTGAGCTGCCCATAATAATATAAAGAAGGTAAGAAGAACGGAGACAGGGAGCCAAAGAATTTCTTTTAAGTGCTACATTGATGCAAAGCGAACATTATTAGTGTAGGCTTTAATCCATTTAATAAAGATTTTAAGGAAACCTTTTTTGTGCCATTCTAGATATAAGAAAACCTCTTGGTAGAGCATTAAAAGCCTCAAAATATCAAGTTCAGTACAAAATAGTTGCAATATGGAATTCCCTCAAAATTATTTACTAGAAAGCTACTATTTATTAGGGGTATCAATATTTGACACGACATGAAAACACGACCCGGATCTGACCCGGAAAATTTGGGTTGGACCAGACCCAATTTCAAAATGGGTCGGGTTCGGGTTCCCGGATTCGACCCATTTGAAAAAACGGGTCGGGATCGGGTTGACCCGATGGGTTGGCGGGTTAACCCGAAAACCCGCTTAGAATGAGCTGCCCGAGGCTGCCCCGGCTACCCACGCTTGACCCCGGCTACCCGCGCGGCCGCCAATGCTGCTCGCGCCCTGCCCGAGGCTCATGCTTTACCTTTCATATCGCAGCCACAGTTTTATTTTGGCAACCACTTTTTCTCTGACTTAATTTTTTTTTGTGCTAAGGAGCTACTTTTTGTAACAATTTTAAAAAGTTATTTCATCTACAATTTTATAATTTTAAGAAGTTACTTTCTACAACAATTTTAAAATTTTAAAATTAGAAAAATATTTTTTTTTATTATTGATCGAACTGGTTGAACAAGTTGATCCAATTTGAATTAGAAAACATTCTCCAATTACATGATGATCGTTTAGGGATTGTTTGGTTTAGTTTTGTGGCTGTTTTGCTTTTCACATAAAATTATAATTTTGCTAGCCTATTATTATTTTCTTACTATTTTTTATTGTTTTTTAAAAAGAATTTTAGTAGAAAGCCATTTTTTTTAATCATAATTGTAAAGTTATTTTCTACACAATTGATATATCATTAAAAAATTATCTTGATCAAACACGAATCTCGAGGCACAATCATCCTGGAAGCTTCAAAAATTAAATATGGAATCATCTCTGCTCCAATTTTAGCAAATTTATAGTCGAACTAAGCGTCTCAAAAATACGAACCCAACGACACCAAATTCAACTCAATACGAGCCCAAGTGTCTAAATCAAAGACCCCAAGCATTGTTGGAAGGTTCAAACCACAATTTAGATTACCAAACGATTTCCAAACATGACATGCTTATAGTCGAATCGAGGGACTCGACGAGATGGGTCCAACGAGCCCAAGATCACTGAATTCTGATATCATGAAGACTTTCAAATGTCTGACGAACGGTCCACGATCAAGGGATTCAATATCGGCCATTCATCCAAACCACTCATCATTTGCCTTTGATCCTCCTATTTACGGGTCAGGTCACTCTCGGAAAATTATAAATAGCCCATCATTTCTCTTAAGAGGGGACTCAAGCAAGAAGTAAGAATAAGAAGAAGAAGGAGAGAAGAGAAGAAGGGAAGGAGGGAAGAAACTCCTCCTCGACCACCGTCAGGGTTCCGCCCAACTTTCAAGTGACGCCAGAGTTCCACCTGACTCTCAAGTGACGTCGGAGTTCCGCCCGACTTTCAAGTTATGCCAGAGTTCCGTCCGACTTCCAAGTGACGCCGGAGTTCCATCCGACCTCCAAGAGTTGATTATTGTAATCTAGACGTCCTAAATTTTAAGAACGAGTTAGCCTCTTGTAACTCAAGCAAACACTAGTGAAATTCTTTCAATTTGGCATGGCCCCGTGGTTTTTCCCTTTCCCGAGATTTCCACGTAAAAATCTTGGTGTTTAATTTCTTTTCTGTTTGTGTGTTGGATATCCGTACAACACTGAGACGAAAATTATAACTCTATCGCCGCATATATTCTAGCCCGCAACAATAAATTTTATAATAAATTTTATAAAATGATACAATTGTACCAAATTGATATTTATGTTTTGTTGAGATAATTTTTTTACTGCTTTTTAATATCAAAATTAAAATTTTAAAATTAAAACAATATTTAAAAATTAATATGAAAGCTTATTTTTCACTGAAGGGTTGAAATTAGCTGTGTTGAACAACGACAAACAGTGTTGGGCAATAGGGTCGCATGAGAGTTCGCAGTTGGCGCGATGCTGACGTTCGTCCCAAATTGAAAGGAGGAAAACAAGGTGCACATGGCAATTGCCCTGTTGGCATGGAGCAATTATTAGGTCCTTTCACTGGATGTAGAGAAAGGTTCGGTTTTAGGCAAAAATAGGTCAAAAAGTGCAAATACCGAGTTTTTTTAAAAACTCGGTATTTTTTCAAAAAACTCGGTATTTGCACTTTTTTAGGCAAAACCGAACCTTCCTCTAAGTCCTTGCACCGGACCAAATAAAAGTTCCTATTGCATGATGGTACTGGAAAGGTTTTCTTATGAGATATTCAATTTTTTTTAACGGCGTTTATAGACCGTGTGATCCTGCGTAATTTGTGCGTTTATTTGTTAATATATTCTACGATGTAAGTTAAGAAAATATATTCATACATAAAAGAATATTTTTATTTTGTATGATGTCGCAAGTTATAAGCTTTTTCTACTTCAAATTTTGAAAAAATAAATATATAATAAGGTAATGCAAATATTCTATACAAATATTTGATATTGGTTTATTTTAAATCAAACATAAAGATAAATAAATTTTATATTTTTTTAATTTTTAATACCCCTAATACTCATAGCTAAAGTAGTCCAACATTGATGGCCAAGCTCTGAGGGTTCGTCAATGGTGGTGGTTGGGTGGAGCTCTAGTACTTGCCAATACTCAAAGCTCACATAAGTCTCTAGCTAGGGTCGAAGCCTCCATGAGTCCCATTCATACTAAGAGATTGGGTTATTTATAGATTTTGAGAGTAACATATTTTTTTAAAATAGAGAATATCCATGTTAAATTTAAGCGCTCCATCGGACGATTCATATTAATTACCTCGATCATGAAGCATTCGTTCAACATTTAAGAGTTGTAATGATGTGAAAATTGAGTAGTCGTGGGCTCGTTGGATTAGTCTCACCGAGCCGCTCGATTCGACTCTAAGTAAGCCTTATTTGAATATCATTTGGTCATCTAATTAATATTATAATACTTCTAAATATATTTTGGACCTTTCATTTGGGCATTTGGGCTCAAATTGGACTAATTTTAGTGTTGTTGGGTTCGTCGCATTGAAACGTCCAATTAGACTATAAGTTTCCTAATATCGGAGTACAAATGATCCCAAATTTAATTTTGAAAGTTTCTAATTCATACATGCATCAAGATTCATGACAATTCAATACAAATTTTTGTGACTTTCATCCTGGCTTCTTCACACTATAAATCACCTTGGAGGCCCCATCCGAATTTTTCCTCCAAACTCTGGAAATCAATTTGCAATACTGCAGTGCAAGTTAAACATTGTTTTAATTTTAAAGTCACCCAGAATGCTCCGATTTCTCTTATATGGGACCACTGGTTTCATAATGTTACTATCAATGATCAATTAGGGAGTAGTATTACTGATTGCTGCCCTGATTTATCCCTTATGGAGTTAATCTCTGGCTCTAAGTGGGTTCTTCCTGAGTTAATCCCTCTGAGCCTGAGACACCTGATAGCGAGTATTTCAGATATTGGGGATGTTGGCCCTTGTCTGTTCTCGAAAAACTTTTCAAATTACAATTTTAAACGTTTTATAGAGGAA